GAGGGAAGGGGGAAGGAGTGAGGGAGGGAGGGAGGGAGTGAGTGAATGAATGAGCGACTGCAGGAACCATTGCCTCTGACGGGGGCTTGGGGCTGGCGCTAGAACTTGAGCGCACCACCATCCGACGGGAAGGCAGGAATGGGCTCATCTGGTTCCCCATCCTGGCAGCAGTGAGGACCCTTGGGGCGGGGGGCGCGGGGGGTCGGACCCAGGGGCACGCAGCACAGAGGCAGAGAGCTCGCCCCCGGCAAGGAGCAGAAAGCCAGGGAGTCTGCACAAATGGCAGGAAAGCACCATGATGCGGGTCAGCGGGCAAACACCCACGTAACCCTGTGAGCCACGCGCGAGTCAGGAGGTGAGGCTCGCAGGTTCAGGTGCACCGTGCACCGTGCGATCCCATGTGCGCTGCAGGAGCAAAAGCAGCTGCACACGCGTGCACGGACATGGGGGGGTAGGGCCTTCGATCGGGGCGGGGCGGGGGCGGGGCGCCAAGGCTTTGGGGGGGTCTCCTCTGGGGAGCCAGGCACGGGGACTTGCACTTTTCACTGTTACTCTGCTGTCCTTAAAAAAACCCACATATCCAGCTATTGTAGATTTTTAAAATAATTTCAAGAAAACTGAAAAACACACCAATGTGGATAAATCTCACCAACAAAACAATGAGCAAAAGGAACCAGAAATAAGGGATGGCATAGGTCAAGTTCAGGGACAGATACCTGTGACCTCCGTCCTACCCCAGGGCAGTGAGGGCGCGAGCGAAAAGGCCCATGGCAGGTTAGTGTGTGCTGGGCATCAGAGATTTTTAAAAGAGAAAACTAGTCGAAAAACCACCAAAATGCTGCGCACCATGGGCTAGGATTACCTAACCAGGGATGAGCAACGAGCTTCTATTTCTGCTCATCTACGTTTTCCACGTTTTCTAACGTGAACCTGCTCTACTCTCAACAGAATACTTTGTGATTCAGAAACGCACAAAGAGAACAGATACAAATGATTTTTGCAATGAGAACACGAGGCTTCCAACGGTTCCCTGGAACCGACCCACCTTCCCTCATCCACGGACCAGGAAGGTCTCCCGGCGACTGCTGCGCACCACGCCAGGGAATGCGGGAGAAGTGGCACCCAGCGGGCGTTCAGGGGCTGTGAGCTGTGCGCACCACCACCATGGGCTCCTTCACGGCCCCCCGCCGGCCTTCACCTTAACACCCCGCGCCTCCCACAGAGGACTTACCCGGGAGAGGGCGGACGCGGGAGGGAGGAAGGGAGGCCACCTCCAGGGTCTGCTTGGGCCTGGGTCCCAGCGAAGGCTTCTTGGCTTCCCACTGGCTCCAGGCTCTCGCCTCGTGGCAGAACGTGGTCTCCAGCAAGCGTGCCGTTAGCCCTTGGATCTAGCGGCAACAGCAGAAGGGACTGTGCCCGTCCATAGCACACCTGCTGAACGAGTCTCCTCCCCTACCCGCGACTCGTGAGCAGTGGGGGGCCCCAACCTGACCTTAGAAACTCCGGCAAGCCCATGTCTACGGCGTGTCGCAGACCAACGGCCTCTCGCCACCCTGCAGTGCGCCACGCCCCTGCTGCCCTGCCTGGGCCCTGCCTTCGGCCGGCAGGGTCCCACCAACGCCGGAGCTGCCCCCTCGTCTGCCGTGAGCTCCAGGTAAACACCAATGTCCCTACCGTGACTCCCACGGGCCTGGCCCTCTGGTCTCCCTGCCACACCTGGACCTCCTCCCTGTCCCCAGAATGCCGCTCCTGCCTCCTCTGGTCTTCACTAAAAGCCACCTTCCCAAGGGGCCCTCCCAGGCCCCTGGACCCTGAGACGGCACACCTTCCCCCTGCTCTGCTCTTCCTCCTGAACGCTGGTCACCTTCCAGCCTGTCCCTGTGTGTCCCAGGGTCCTGGAATCAAGCCCCGCAGCGGGCTCCCTACTCAGCGGGGAGTCTGCTTGTCTCTCTGCCCCTCCCCCTGCTCATGCTCTCACTCTCTCTCTCAAATAAGTAAAATCTTTGGGAAAAAAATTAATTTCATTTAATAAAACAGAATGTTGCAATCTAACCTCTGATGCCTCAAAAGCAACCCGTGGAGCATGGCCACCCTCCCCAGCCTCGGGTATGGGGCCCCGTGCTGAAGAAATCTTCCACAGAGCCCAGAAAACTGAGCACCGTCCAGCGACAGATCAGACACCGCATGCATGGCCCCCTTTCCCCCTCAGGGACTGTATTACACCCACGTGTGTGTTCATTCAAACAGCAGGTCCATCCTGCGGTGACAGCACGTAAGCAATGTGTTCCGGGGCGCCCTGAGCCTGCCCCGTGCGGCAGCCTCCAACAGGGCCATGGGAGAGCCCCCTGGACACGCGATCGCCTGATGCTCCCCAGCAGCCCTGTTTCATTTCCTACGTCCCCTCCCAGGGGGACGGCACCCCGTCAGCCTGGCTGGGTGTGCAGCAAGGGCGCAGCCCAGGGAGAGGGCGCTGGGAGAGAGGGACCCTGCAAGCTGGGAGTGCTCCTGAGGCAGAACCGGGGAGCAGCTCCTCCTGGCTCCTTGTCCATGGGAAGGTGAGCACCAAGGGGGCTGCCAGGAGGCCCCAGTGCCTTCCCAGGAGCATAGGCACTGGCTCTGAGGTCCTATGCTCCCAGGTGCCCCAAAGCCACAGTGGCACCCTTCAGGGCAGGGGCCGTGCGCCCACACGCTCCCCTACGATGTTCATGTCGTGGGGACTTAAAGCACCATGAAATGCTAAATTAAAAGTATAGGGGCTAATCATAACAAGCACGTATGGCAGGACTACTAAACTTAGGGGTACTCTGACAGGCTACGTACGGCTCCACAGATCTACTTGTCAAAGACTGCCCATAAGCTACCTCCGTCCTACATCCAGGCACATGGTGATGAGAAATCCCCCGGGATCCTCTCTATGCTCGCATATGTGTCCCATCCCCTGGGAATACGGAAGGCCTACGAGCGACAGAGGACATCCAACCCACGATAGCCCAGTGGCCACTCGCTTCCACTCTCCACCCCGCCCAGCACGCCCGTGCCCCGAACCCCTCCCCAGCTCCCTCGGAGGCGTAGAGCTATGTGCACCCGCAAGAGGGAGGCTGGGCTTACCCGTGGCCGAGCCGGCCGGGTTCCAGCTCTGCCGGGGGCCCACACTTGTCTCCCCAGGCTCACTCTGGTTGCCAGTGTCCAAGCAGTCGGCCAGGTCTGGCAGCGGTAAAGAAGTGTCACACGCAAGGCCCATGTAGTGGTAGAAGCCGGGAATCAGGAAAGTGATATTCTAGAAAACAAAGTAACATTTCAGAACCTGGACCACAGGCCCGTCCCCCCATCTAACCTGGGGAGAGAATGAAAACAACGTGAGCAAGTCTCTGGACAAGGTTAGGAAAGACGCCAGGTTGTATTCCTTTTCACAGACCCACAAAGCCCCTCTGACACCCAACAGGGAATTCATGATTTTTCCCCCTTTTTCTTATGAAAAAGACAAAATCAACAACTCTGAAGCTAGTTATACCAACACCTCCGTGTCTCCCAAGCTGATGTCTGGCCTTTGCCCATGTCGCCCTGACGCCTGGAAGCCACGCCTTCAAACTCCACCTTACGTGGCACGCAGAGAGTGACGGGGGCCCAGCATAGGGGAAAAAGGGGCCTTGGGCACAGGAAACTGGCCCCTGGGTTCCAGCAGGCGTCTTTGCTGTGCTGGCCGTGGCCTCAGCACAAGGGTCCCAGGCCCAAAGCTGCAAGGACACTCGCTTTCTCTGAACCCATATGCCACCCCTGCTCCCAGAGGGGTGCCCGCAGCCGTGTGAATCCAGAACACAGTCTAACCTCAGAGGCAGGGTACTTCCACCCCCCACACACTCCCTAAAAGGACCCAACCCCTCAACATTCCTGCGGCAATCACTTGTCTAAAAATCACACTAAGCGCGTTTTCATTAACTTCAATCAAACTGAGTTTGCCTTCAGTTAACTAAATTTTAGCTTACTTGTTCCTTAGTATTTCTATTAGGAAACAGAGAGGGACCCGTTTTTGGAGGCTCAAAAGATGGCTGACTGTCACTGGGTCCGGGGTCGGCCCCACTGAGAACGACAAGAGGGGACTCCCTCCCTCCGTTTGCAGAACCCCTGGAGAACAGGTGTTCAGGGAAAGGCTGCAGGCCCCCAAGAGCCAGACCGGCCAGGCCACAGACACGGGGACCGCTGGACGTCAAAACCCCACTCAGCAGTGACCCTCCTGCCACTGAGTAGGGGGCCCACGTCCCCTTCCCAGGACCCTGGGACCATCTGAGGAGGACATGCCACGGCTGCCTGAGACGCTCACCTGCCCTTGGAGCTCAGCCCTCAAGTGACACCAGCCCGGCCACAGGCCCAGCCGGCCAGACACACGAGCAGACACGTCTTAGGAGGACGCCAGCCCCAGCTGACTCTACATGGAGCACAATGACTCGTCCTGCTAAGTGCAGCCCGGAGGGCCAATTTGTGACCTAAATTCCAGATTGTCATGTCTGGGGCCCCAAGCTTATGGTGGTTTGCAGCAACAGATATAGACTGCTCGGCCCAGCCGCAGATGAAAATGGGGCAGCGGACATCCCTGACAGGCCTGGGTCCCGCTGTGCAGAGACCTCCACCCCACGCTCGAGAAATCCAGAGAAAGCTCAAGCCAAGGAAGAAGTTTATAGACACACCTTCCTCTGACCCTGACCCCATGAGAGGCCCCCCAGGATGGCCCCCAGGGCAGAGGAGGTGTGGACAACCCTGACCTCCGGGCGCCCAGCTGTGACATACACCCTCGTCCGGTAACAGACCAGACCTCGCTCAGGACAGGTTTCGAGGCAACAGCCCCTCCCTCTCCAGGGACAGCATATGGAGACAAGGCTCTGGAGACGGTCCCGGGGGTCACTGAGTGCTCAGCGTGGGGTCCAGAGAAATGAGAGCCGCTAGGGAGAATGGTGCCCAGCATGCCCCGGGAAAGCCAGTGGGCCAGACTAGTAGACATGGAGGTACAAGGCCTGTGACAAGCACACGTCCTCACTGAAAGCGGACTGGGCCCCTGCAGGGGAGGGCAGGCTGGCCACCCAGGGAGGGCCCACCTTGCCCAGGAGCTCCGTCTTCCCGTAACCGAACAGCATCAGTGCAAAGCTGTGGTTGATGCCGTAGATGGTCCCGTCGGGCAGGAGGGTGATGAGGCCGCTGATGGTGGAGAACACCCAGATGGATGCCGAGTAACCCAGCTCGGGGACTGCACTGCTGTCTTCCACCACCTCGCTACTGGACTCAGATTTCAGTTTTAAGCTCAGGGGGAAGGTGGTACCATCCTTGGCTCTCCCAACAGACCTCTGAATCTTGAGATTCTGGAAGAAACACACACCACCGAGCTGACAGCAGCATCTCATGTGGCCCAAGCTTTGGGTCTTTACAGCTCTAGACTTGAACCCATCCACGCGTCACGGGGAGCAAGCCCAGAACACCTCACTCCCCACTCTGCTCCTCCTTCCCCAATCTCCCTGCACCCCCCCTCTACCCCAGGGAAAGCAGAGCCCTGACCAGGAGCTGAGTCTGGTGGCGAGGGCATCACAGTCTAGCAGCTGCCCCCCACTCCAGAAAGGCCTGAGGACAGCCCACACCAGGGCAACCAAGAAACACACAAGGACTGGCCTCATGTCTGCGCCAACCCTGCAGGGAGGGCGGGTGGGCAGGTTTCTCCCCACCGTCTGCCTTGGGCCCCCAGTAGCCCCGGGGTCCCCCCCGCCACGGATGGACCCCAACACTCACTCCATCCTCCAGCCTGAGGGCCAGCCATTTCCACCTGTTGCTGACCGTCCATCTGTGCCTCCTCAGCACCTCTATCACTCACAAAACCACGTCCTTGCCCTGTTTCCCTGCCTTAAATACTTGGAATGTATCCAGTTTTGAGTAAATCTTGACCAAGTCCACATCCTAACCAAAGGCTTTGAGAGTGTGCTCCCTTTGGGTTTCCAGATGGCACACCAGCCCAGGGTTGTGTGTCTACCCCTCACCCAATCCCACCTGCCCTTTTTAGGGTCCACCCTGGGAGGCAGGAGATCTGAGGGAGCCCAAGGTGTGGGCATGGCCCGGAATGCAGGGGAGATTCCAATCCCCCAGCGCTGCGCCCTGAACAGGCTCGGACCTAGAGACACCAGGCTCCCCATGCCAAGGCTGCAGGCCAGGCCCCAGGTCCCAGGGGGCCCTATAAGGAATGAGGGGTGCAGGGCCAGTCTCTGCTTGCTGCTGGGGTGTCGGGGGCTCCCGTTTGAGGCTATCACAAATGTGCTGCTGAGAACAAGCCCACACGTGCCTTCTGGCACACACTTCTCTCTGATGCGTGCCCAGGGGGGTCTGAGGCGGCCCGTGGTTACATGGAACAGATGCTGCCACAGGATCCAAGGTGGCTGAGCCAATGGATGCTCCCACCAGCTCGGGACAGAAAAAAGGACACAGAGACAATAAGGACTGGCGGTGGGGTGAGGGCTCCAACCAAGCTGGAAGCTTAAAAATAGCAGAGACCCAGCTCAGAGGGCTCAGCTCCGAGCCTCCGGCCGGCCAGACAACCAGGGAGTGCCTACAGACATCCCGAAAGCATCTCGGATTCCTTGCAGCAGCAGAAGGGACTTTAGGCAAAAATCAAGCGACACTGGGCTGTGACATCAGTGGAATTCACCACAATGAGGGTCATTTGTGTGAAGGCCGCACGCTAGTAGGAAATGGGGCACCTGGGAACTGGGAGGATTCAGTCGGTAACAGAACCTCTCTCCACCAACCCCAAACCTCCACTGTCCCCAGAGCTGCCGCCCCCCCATTTGCCTGCCATCCTGCCCTCAGCCAGTTCTCCTTGCTCCTCAAGACCCCCAGACCTCCCAGTAAAGAGCGACCCCAGCAGGCGATCCCCGCTCCAGGCTCCAGCGGGAGGACGGAGGAGACCGGTGGCCCGTTGGAGAGCCGCACAGGCTCTGACCCTCGCTCAAGGCTTTGGAACCCAGAGAGCAGGCAGCAGACCCGGTGCCACTGTGTGCCCACGCGGGACGCGCCTGCTGCCAGAATCACCAGCCTGTGTCCCCAGGCCATGGATTCCAGTCTAAGACTCTATGGTCCCCGAGTAAACAGACTCCAGGGGCCACATGGCCCCAGGTACAGCTGCAAGGTGTGGCCGTCAGGGGTCCGCAGGGTCCTACCTGTGGGACAGGCTCGCCGGGGGGAGGGAGCTGCACAGAAGGGATCAGGTCTGCGATGTGCTGCCCGAGCGCCTCCTCCCCAGACCCGTACCCATGCAGGAGAGCAAACAGGCTGTCACAGGACGTTATGGTTCCCTTGGAGGAAAAACCAGCATCGTTAAGCATCACGGTAAAAACTTCTGGCACTTCGGCTTCAAACATCACGGAACGCCAAGCCTCCAGATTGAAAGCAAGACCGTTAGCAGCGCTCCTGCGGCAGGAGAGCACGAGGTGGGCACGAACATTCCTCAGGTCCTCATTCTCCCGCCGCCGGAGGCACCCCAATTATCGACCTCTGGAAGCATTCTGCAGATGCCCGGCACGGCCAGCCCAGGCCCAGGTGGCGTCTGAGCCCTGCGTGCCGGCCACCATGCCGACGGCCCGGCACACGCTACCTCACTGACGTGCTAAGACAATCCCAGGTCCCGGTTACACCCCTTCTACAGATGAGGAGACCGAGGCCCAGGGAGACTGCACCCCTTGCCGAAGGCACACAGAGAGGGAGGGGTGCCGCGGGGCCGACCCTCCACGGGCCCCAGGGGCACACGGTGGGCCCCGGCGGCGGCTGAGGCCGGGGGAGGCGACACATGGTCAGCCCCACGCGGCTGGGACGCGGAAGGCACACTCACATCGCCCCGGAAAGCGACCCAGGCGGACACCCGCTCCACAGGTTCCAGCACCACCACGCGGCTGCGCTCCTGCCTCACCCTCTTCATCCACACGGAAACCGGGGTCTTCTCCCCGCTGCGGCTCACCACGTCTACCTGCGGGGACGCACAGCCTTGGCCCCGGCCCTCCCCAGCCCCGGGGCAGGGGCGCCTGCAACCTGTGCTCCCCTGCCCACATCCGAGCCTGACACCAAGCCTTAGTCTGAGAGGACGCTGTCTCAGAAGAGAGGGTTTTCTCGTCAGCTTCCGGGCAGCGGAGCGGGAGCAGAGCCGCCTGTGAGCTGCTTCAGGGAGCACACGTCAATACGCGCTGAGCAGTCAGTGTTCTGCACAATCATCAGCCGCGTGGACAGTCCCCAGGACAGAGCGGCGGACCGCATCTCACGTCCCTCGGGGTCTGGGCTGAGGGCTCAGCATCTCACATGCAGTTTAACCCGTCAACATCCCAGCTGACGCATCACACGGGGAGGCCCAACGCCCCAGGGAGACCTTTCCAGCCGTGCCAGCCCCGCCAACGAACACCAAACAAACAGCACTGGAGAGTCAGGGGTGCAGACAGTAAGATCAGGGCACTCCCCGCAGCATCCTGCCGGTTTGCAAACCATCGCCCTAGCTTCCTCCCTCGCAGGTGGGGCTGCCCCTCACGCCAGGCCCGCAGCCACCCCCTTCCGCTCCTGGGACGCTCTGCCCGCCACCCCAGCTGCTCCCCACACCAGCACCGAGGGAGGACGGCGGCCATGGTGACCAGTGACTGGCCGTATCTGCGGCGGGCCCCCAGCAGCACACCCCGGGAAGGCGCACTCACCACTGTGCCGAACACGACAGCGGCATGGCCGTCGGCCTCCGCGTGCTCTTCGCTGAGGGCCTTCACCACGTCGGAATCGGGCTTCAGGAAGAACTGCGTGAGCTTCTGGCCGATCAGGTCATGGCTGCTGTGCCCCAGGAGCTGGCAAGCCTTGTCGTTGGCAACCAGGATCTGAGGGTCGCAGAGAGGACCGGACACAAGCATCACCCACAGCGCCTCCAGCTCTAACCCGTGCCCCCCAGCGCCCTGCGGTTGGCGGGCTCACAGCCGCGACGCCCTGGCCACCTCCGGGTCTTAACCACGGGGAAACAAGAAATGCCAGCACCACGACCGAAACCAGGTTTCCGTCACCCGCCAGGATGGGCACGCCCTGCCACCAGGAGCACGCGGAGGAGATGAGGACTCGCACCACTCCCCGCCCACCTAATGATTTCGGTTATTTGCCTGTAAATGCCCATGATGCGCACACGGCCACCTCAGACCATGGATCCCCGTTCTCATGGTCGTTGAGCCAACACCTTAGTGAGCACAGGGGAGTCACGCGGGTCATCCCTGTCCTTGAGTCTCTACCTTGATGAAAGGATTCAGTTTGTTTTGATTCATATTCAAGTCTCTTTTGCTGCTACGGAGGGGGAACCAGGTGCTTCCCTAACTGCACTCCACACACACAGATTCCTCCGTCCAAGGTTACAGGTCGAAGGCACAGACCACACTCACAGCGGGGTCACGAGCCGAAGTCAGTACCTCTGTGGTCGTGGCGTCCACAGTGAACACGGCCTTGTTCGGGTTGCACACAGGGGTCGGGAGCAGGGGCGTGGACCATCCTGAGGACAAGCCCCGCAGCAGGGAGCAGCAGGACACGCTGCCCAGGGGCCGGGGCAGTTCCGGCAGCTCTGGCGGCACCAGGCAGTGCAGTTTGCTGGTGCAGATGTTCTGGGCAGCCAGTGACGACAAACAGTAGGAATTCCATCTGTCTTCTGGAAAGAAAAGGAAAAGGAGCTTTAGACCTCACAAGGCTGCCAGGAGTGCGCTTCTCGAACATACCAAAGCACACAGCCCCTGCTCTCAAGTCCTGCGAAAGGATCCAAGGATCACATCAACCTGCAGAGTTCAACCTTCACCCTCCAGTGTCCGTGTGAACGGCCCCGAGTCCCCCTGGGTGCTGTCCAGCCACAGAGCACATCCTACAGGAGACACAACGGCCCAAGCTCAGCATTTCTGTGGAAACACTCTCTGAGGTCCCTTCCCACCACCCAAGGGGTGTTTTCCTGTGTCTGCCCTTACAGACCCACAGCCCCTCTGGCTACCCGCCGGCACTTATTCCTGGAAAGTCGCCCAAATCCAAGAGCTGTCTGCTCACTCGGCCGCTCCCTCCATTCCCTCATTCACAGGTCAGGTTCACTCACCACCCCTCCAGAAAACCTGCTCTCAGTAACATGTCCAGTGGCCCCCAAGATGCTCAACCCCATCGCCAATTCTCAGCACTCACCCTACCCCAGCCCTGGGCCAGGGGCTTGCTCCCTGCCTCCTAAACCACCTGCCCTTGGCGGGGCTCCCTCTCCCCTCCACCTCCCTGACCTCTCACCACGGCAGAAGCCCAGACTCAGGCTCACCCCCTCCACTCCATCCCACCCACTCTTTGCTGGCTTCAAATACACTCCACATAGGAATGTGCTGCTGGCCCCACAAACCCCTGCCTTGCCTCTCTCCTTTCCTATCTCAGTAAATGGCAACTCCATCCTTCCAGCAGCTCAAAATCCAGACAAAAACAACTCTTCCCTTCTTTCCCCTTCTCAGTTCACAGGCCCACCCTGGACCGTTCTCTGGGCCTGGAAACCGCATGGCCATCTGCTTGGCCCTCCACTTCCCTGGCCGCCCCAAGCTCAGCTCAATCCTCCTCACACCATGGGACAGGCACCACAACCCTGGCTCTGCCCCTGGTCCCCATGCAGAGACCAGGAAGCCCGTGCTCCTGAGGACAGCTGCCTGCCTCACAGACCTGCCCAGCCCTCCCCGCAGAATCTTTGGTCCTCACCAGGAGGACCCAGCATCTCTTTCCCTCCAAACACTCCCATCCTGTGCTCCCAGGCTGGTGTGTGAGCTGAGTTCCAACCCTCTTCTTCCTTTATGGGACTGTTCCCCTCCTCCTCCCTCCCCCAGCAGCCTCGTCCCCCAGCTCCGGACCTTCCCATTGTCCTAACCGACTTCCCCACACTCTAGGTCCACCCAGCTGCAGGCCTGCACCTGCTGTCTCCTTAAGCACCCCCTCAGACAACGAGCCCTCTGAGCTCTGGAGGCACCAGCGGACTTGGAAAAACAAGTGAGTGAGTGGGCAGCAGGTGCCTCGACATCTTGGCCCAGCCCAGGCACCGCCTCCCGCACTGGGAAGCTGGCTGCCGCTGAGCCCGCAAAACTCGTCTGCATGCGGGAGGAAAGCATGAGCCTGCCATGCAGTCAGTAAATAGTTACTGAACTAGATCAGCCAAACTATTTCACTTGCACGGCAGCCCGGCCCAGGATCGTGCTCGCACACACTCTGAAGCAAGGCAAGTCTCGGGCCCAAGAACCACAGCAGCATGACGGCCCGGGGGGGGCCCATCAGCATCGTCACCAGGGCACACCGAGCACCTCATCTGCGAGAACAGAAAACCCGATCAAAGCCTAGAGTGACTCGTCATTTTCGTCTTCAACACTGATGCCCACAATGCCCAGGAGGGGGTTACCGGAGAGGCCCATCCTGCTCTGGCAGAGCTTCGAAAGCCCATTCCTTCTGCTCAGGTGTCTGTGGGCCGAGGACAGGGACTCGCTGGGCTCGGAGGTGGTCCACACAGCTGGGCTCTCGGGGGAGCCTCCGTCCTCCATCGGGAGCTGGCTGGCCAGGGCAGCAACCGTCAACTAGAAAACAAAGTGGACCCAATCAGCATCGGCAACACAATAGTAGGAAAGCAGTTTAACCAACTAATCCTTTGGCAGGTTGAGTGCAGCTCAGCCCCAAAAGGCTCCCACGCACCCCACTGCCACGTGGGCCAGGACCTCCAATGCAAGGCCAGTGACCAAAGTCCTGCTAAAAGAAGCTCTTTCGGAGAAATGCAGAACAAGAGATGGGAAGAGAGAGGGAAACAGAGGGAAAGAACAGAACAGGGCGCGAAGAGGCCGTGAAGGCTACAGCTCCACGCAAACTGAAGAATGCTCCCGATGCCACGAGGGCCCGCCGGCCTGTGCGCCTCTGAGTGGCCCCAGCCTTCCCCAAATCCAGGGGTTCTGACCAGCTGCACCCAGAACCATCCAAGGGGCTGCTGACAAACAAGCGATGCAAAGCCATAGCAGAGAGTCTGGAGGTAAGCCTGGTACCAGGGATTTGTGGTTTAACTGTGTGGTTTCTAAGTACTTGTAGATCAGCAAGCAGTCCTAAGGAAAAAAATACAGAAAAATCTCATGTGTCCTTCACAGTTTCTTCCGGACAGTGCTGGAGGCCCGGGCCAGGAGCCTGGATGAAGGAGGAGTCCAAGGGACTAGGGCAATGTGCCCACCCCAAGCCTGGGTGCCCTCTCCACGATCACCTTCTGAGCATGTGGAACCCACTTCTGAGACCCGCACTGGCTTCTTCCCCCATCAGGGCTCCCTCGTGGGTACACAAAGGCCCAAAGACTGGCCAAGGAGCTTCCTTTGCAAGAAGACCAAGCTTCAATAAGCAGGCGGGGGCACCCACACAGGACGGACCTGCTATGGAAAGAAAAGGGGGGCTGACCCTCCCACGCCACATTGCAGCACGGAACTCCAAGGAGGCCCAGCCCGCCAGTTCTATCCTGGCTTTAGGTCATCATGAATATTCACCACCAGCACAGAAGGGCAGTGGCTTTCATAGTTACCAGTTTGTAAGCCCAATTTATAATTTTGCATATGGGGATAACCGTATGGGGTTTCTAGTATGCTCACGCCCCAGGCCCCTCAGCTGTTAGGGCCTGGCCAATGCCCGCCTCAGCTGCCAGCTTCTGAGCATGGTGAGGCAGGAGTCCCCAAGACAGACAGAAAACTGAAGGCCCCACTATCACCAGTGTGGAAGGATGTTAACATCAAAACATGCCAAAGACCTACACAAATGGAGATTGGTACTGCAAAGGAACATAAAGGACAATGGAACATAATCAGCTTCAGAAACAGACCTGCGTCTGTTAAGGAGCTTGGCACAGAGTGAAGATCAAAGGGGAATGAACAGTGCTCCCCAGCACAGTGAGGCCCTGGACAGCCCCCTGGCCTTCCAGCTTCAGCCCCCTTCTATGCAAAATGTGAATAACGATAAGGCACATGTCACAGCACTCTCGTGAGGACCCAAGGACCTAAGCTGGGACTGCAAACCATAAATGCTGAATAGCTGTGAGCTGCCAGTTTTAAAAAGAATTAGCGTAATTAGACCAGGGTGAAGTTGCATCCCTGTGACTTGCCATGTACAAAAATTAGTTCCAGGTGAATTCAAAAACGAAAGATAAAACTTCTAGAAAAAAATAAGATAGAGAATACAATGGTCTGGGTAACTATCGAGCAGCCCTCGCATTTCAGAGCAGCTAGTGTGCATCAAGGGTATCGGTCTGTGGCATCTCTGAGCTACCTGAGAGTAAGACACACGCTTAAGAAGATAAAGATGCATGTGGGCTGGAGCTAGACCTGTGAGCGAGTCACCCTCACGAGACGGGGCCCCCTCAGAGAAGCCAGGGGCCCTGAGGAGGAAAAGTGTGGCCCCAGCTCAGCAGCCTGGGCCCAGGCAAAAGCAATCTTCCCAGAAGCAAAGCATCCTAAATACAGGTTTCCAAGAGCAAGATCAACCAAATATGCTCCTTTCCAATGACGAAGACAAGGAAACAAGCCCCCCTCAGTGACAGTCTACAGAAAAATCAAACAGATTCAGACACAAGAGAACATCAGATACTAGAAATGACTGTGTATATGTTTAAAATACAAAAGATGGGAGTCACAAAAGTGAGCAGAACAAGAGTTTCTCAGAAACAACTACATATTGAAAGAATCAAACCAGCTTTCTAGAAATTAAAATTTTAAAACTTCAGCATTAAAAAAAATGAATTTGTAATTTAAACTTACCCTCAAAGATCTCTAGGCCCAGATGGCTTCACTGGTGAATTCTCTCAAATGTTTAAGAAGGAAATAACATCAGTACTACACAAACTCCTCCAGAAATAAAAACAGGCTGAGCATATCCAGCCCAGTGTTTGAGGCTAGCATCACCCTGATGCCAAAGCCAGACAAAAACATTGCTAGAAAAGGAAACTGCAGACCAATAACTCTCATGAACAGAGATACAAAAATCCTCAACAAGATGTTAACAAATCCACCGAGGCAATATATAAATAGGAGAATTCACTACAACCAAGTGGGGTTTATCACAGCAACAAAAGACTAATTTAACATTTGGAAATCAGTCAACGTAATTCACCATATCAACAAGCTAAAGAAGGAAAAAAAAAAAGGAGGAAAAATCACACAACCATATCAATTGATGTCAAAAAAGCGTTGGACAAAATCCAACACCCCTCCACAGGAAAACACACTCAACAGTTAGGAAGTGAGCACATCCTACCCCTGCTCAAGAGCATACATGAAGAACCTACAGCCAGAGATGCTTGCCTTCCAAGGTCAGGGGCAGGGTGAGGAAGGCCACGTAGCCTCTTCTCTTCAGCACTATCCTGGGGGGACAGCCAGTACACAAAGGCAAGAAAAAGAAATAAAAGGCACATACACTAGAAAGAACAGCATAAAGCTATCTCAATTCACAGACGACAGGATCATATACGTAGAAAATCCTAAGGATTCATAAGAAGACTAACAACCAGAGATTTTTTTTTTTAAAAGGGGGTGGAGGGTAAAGGTTTTAAATAGACACTTCACCAAAGAAGGCGTACAAATCACAAAGAAGCACATGAGAAAAATGTTCACCACCATTCGTAACATGGGAAATGCAAGTCAAACTGTCCCGAGCTGTCACACACAAGCACTAAGGTGGCTAAAATTACAAAGAGTGGAAACACAGAGTGTCGGTCAGGATGGGGAGCAGCCAGAACACTCACAGAGTACTGGCAGGAAGACACGATGTGCACACACCCACGCGGGAAAGCAGTCTGCCAGTGAGCCCAGGACACAGTGCTTGCACGAGGTATCTGCCCAGGAGGGAGAGGGAGACAGCGATGGCCCCGATGGGCCCCAGTGCCATGGAGGTGGGCCAGAGAACACTTCCTGCAGGATTCCGTCGGCGCCAAGCACGCGCCAAGACAGGCCTGATCCACTGGGGCAGGAAGCCAGGCGGGCGCAGACCAGGACCAGTGGTGCGGAGGGCGGGGGCTGACTCAGAAAGAGCACAGAGGGGCTTTGGAGGGTGATGGGAACACTCTCCGACTCCACTGTGCTCACGATCCTGCAGCTGTGGAAGCATCTCAACACTCCCTGAACTATGTACTGACCATCAGCACGTTTTATTGTCCGTAAATTCTCGCCATAACGTTAATTTTTAATGTCAATGAATGAGTAAGACAAGCAGGTAGTCACGGCTGGAAAGAAAATTAGAGGATTGGTAGATCTGTGAATAAATAACCCAGAATGCAACTCAGGGAAACAAGAACATAGAAATATGAGAGAGAAGTTAAGAGATAAAGACGGGGAGAACTGAACAGCTAACTGGAGAGGGGAGAGGAAGAAATATTTGAAGAGGTAAGAATGAGCAACAAATCCACAGACCCAGGGCCCTGAGCGGGGCAACCCCACCTACCAGCTGTGAAAACCCGACAGGAAGCCGTGGCGTGGGTGTGTCCAGGCAGGAATAACCAAACTGATCAAAGGAACGGAGGACGACCAGCCCCGGACCCACGAGGCTGCCAACACTGGACGCCTGACTGCGGGAGCGGCTCCGGGCACTGGGGGGGAAGCCAGGCAACTCCATGTCCAGCCAAGAAACAGTGACAGCAGAACGACCAACACGCCGCACACGAAAAGCAATGTCCAGGACACCAAAGACTTAACTTGTGAAAGTCAAAACACTAAACTTTTAGAAGAAAATTGGAAAGACCTTCGGTAAGACTTTGGGCAAGGAAGGTTTTCTTCAGCAAGACACAAAAAGCTCTAACTATAACATAAGATTGATAAATTTAACATTAAAGCTGAGAATGCCTGTTCACCAAAAATACCTCAAACAAAAAGATATAAACCCCAAGTTGGAAGAAGAGATTTGCCACATATAGAACCAGGAAATTAATATCCAGGGTAGTTTAAAAGGCCAATAATTTAAAATTTAAAAAAACAGAAAGTAAAAGACACACAGCTCCATGGAAAAATGGAAACGAAAATTTCACAGAAGAGGAAGTTGACAATAAACCTACAACAAGAGGCTTAGCTTTATTAGCATAATCATGACAATTTAACACCTACTAAACCAGCAAAACTTAATAATTCTAATAATATTAAATATTGATAGAGATGTGGATTAATGGGACTCGAACAAATTAATATAATCTCTTCTGAAAACAATTTAAGTCAAACAGTAACCTACTAGGACAGTATATCCCACTCTTAGACTTCTATTCTATAGGATCCTTGCACATATGTAGCGAGTCACACTCAAGAATGTTTGGGGCAGCATGGCTCACAATGGCAAAAAAAAAAGGAAGAAAAGAAAAAAACCTGAACACTCATCAATAAGAAAACAGATTTAAAATTCTGGTATATTCATACTATGAGTTATAAAAATGAAAACAAATTCTATATAGGCAATGATGATAAATCTTAGCAATATAATAAGCGAAAAAAATCAAGTTACAAAAGACCATCAATAGTAAAATTCCCTTTTTACAACGCCCCCCCATCAGGGGTACACATGAATGTGAAAAACCCAAACTTCGGGCAGGGGGGTTCCTCTGAGGGTTCAGCAGCAAACCGGAATAGAGAACCGCACAATGGCCTAGGATCTTTCGGTTCCTAATTTGGGGGGTGGGCTTAAATGAGTTCACTTCATTGTTATGATTCATGACTAATGTCGCATTCATCTTTTTGAACCATCAGCTAGCATACACTCAAAAGTTAAGAGATGTTTTCTACACGTATGTATATATCCAGGGCTGGACCATAACAGCAGCAGCTGATACTGAACCAAAAGAGTAAGAAGCAAAAGAGAAATTAAATAGCAAACTACTAGAACATATTGCTTTCCTTCTCTAAGCATCTAAATGGACTAATTATTTCTAAAACAAATAACATCATGTTTTCATTTCTATTTCTACAACCAACCTACTGACAAAGCACAGAGACTTGATTATAGCTTCAGACTACACTGTGAATGTCACAGAACTCTGATTTGTAAAAAACCAAAAACATGACTCTTCAGACTACATTGTAAATTTCCTAATAAAACTCTTTAGAATACATTGTAAGTATTATAAAAGTTGACTTTGTAAAAGTAACAAGAAGAGGGAGAGGAGGGAGGGAAGGGAAGGGAGGGTAAGGGCCAATGCTTGGTCTTGCATGGGAGGAGGTAGATTAAGTCGCGCCTAAAGCTGACAAATCAAGTGGATGTAGGAAAGCCAAATCGTTGTTCCCTTTGTGGCTTCTGTGGTCGGCCACATGCCGATTAGCGTGGCACACCACACCCACGCCATGTGGAACACCACACCCACGCCACGTGGAACAGAGGCCCACGGCACCTCTGCAGAGCCGCCCAGCGCCTCCAGCCCCACAGGCCTCCGAGAACACAGAGCCTGGCTGCACATAACCTTAGATCACTCCTTTTCACAGGTTTAATTCAAAGGCTAACCAGAAACCCCTGCCAGTCCAGCCCTAAGTTTTTAGAACAGTTTTCCTGGGTTCTGGCGCTTTTTGTACCTGTTCTGAGCAGAAGATACAGGATGTTGAACCCAGAGGGGGACCTGGTGGTGTCTCAGAGTGATCCTATTGCTGTTGCTAGTTTTGATTTCAGAAGGCATGAGTGACCCCCCTCAGACCAAAGAGAAGCAAGGAGAGGTTTGCAGGGAGTTTCTGGGAAAGTACTCAGCTTATGGGTGAACTTTTTTTTTTTTTTAAGATTTTATTTATTTATTTGAGAGAGAATGAGATAGAGAGAGAGAGAGCATGAGAGGGGGG